CATCAGCTGGTGCCCAACATGGGGCACCGTGGCACGAGGACCCCACGGACGGATTGAGGCTTAGAAGAAGCCTAGAAGTCCTGGCCATTGACTGCCTCTGGTTGCAGCAGACCTGTTTCTGTCCGGTTGCGCTCCCAGACGGGGAGAGAGGCCTCCTGCATCCTGAGTATCTCTCCGGTGTGGGGGTGCTTTCCTGCAGCACCTGTTCGCTGGACCTGAGAAGGGTAAGTATCCCCCAGACTGGGCTGAGGGTACTTACTAGTAGAAGAGGGAGGGGTTGGCTGTGGAGAGCACCCCTGTCCTTGGGCTGGTCTGTGGACCCTTAAGTTTTTAAGTTTCTCTTCAGCTGCAGGAGAGGGCGAATTTTGCTGTGCTGATTTAAGTTTTTAAAGTGACCCAGTGTTAGGATGGGTGCAAAGTTATCAGCGCAGCAGAGGGGAATTTACCTCCAAGTTGTGGGTATCCTGGAGGGTGGGAAAAGAAAGTTTCCTCAACGGTTATTAAAAAGGTTGGTGAGGTGGCTCTGCCTCCACTTCTCAAAGGTGTCTCCGGAGGACATAGCGACCATCCCCTTTTGGGATGTCATCGGCAGGAAATTAACAGATTTGGCCAATAATGGAGACACCTCAGTGAGTAAATTCTTTGCTTTATTTGTAGTAATTCAGTCGGTCCTTGTAGAAACAAGGAAAGTGGAGAGATGGCCCGAACTTACCTCCCCAGTTTCCCCTTCCCTTAGTCCTAAATCCCTGTCCCCTACACCGGGAGGTCTGTGTGGAGTAAACCACCAAGAAGTGCAGGTGAGCCACTGACTCCCTGGCTCCCCACAGCCTCCACGGTACCCTTTCCCAGACAGCAACGGCTGCGCTCTCAGGGATCCTTCCCTAAATACCTCTTTCCCAGTTACCAACCCCCCAGTTCAAACCCCGGTTCAAATCCCCAAGTTCCCAAGTTGTCCCTCAAACTCTCCTTACTACAGCTCCTCCAGCTTCTATAATTTTCACTATCCCAGAAGTTCATTCCCTGTGTTGCTGCCGCCATAGTCCTTGGGTTTGTCGGTCCTGGTTTCTTGTTGTGTGCACTATACAAATCTGTCTTCTTGGCACATGCCTCTATTATATCTGCTATATTGGATGCCAGATTAATAGGCAGACTCAGGATCACTCTGAGGCAGGCTTCATTGGCATTCCTTTGAGCCATCTCCTTAATCAGTTCCGTCTGGGCCACTGGTCCTTCCACCTGCCTTTGTATTTGCACTCAAAGTTGACAAACTGCAAAAAACTTCCTGATGGAAGCAATTTAATATTAACATAGCTGACTTGAGTTTCAACTGTTGGTAATTGGTTAAAATTCTTTTCTGCAACATCACAGATCTTATCTGCAATACATTTTGTTAATACTTGCACCTGGTCTTCAGGTTACTCCCACACTCCCTCCTTGCATAGATGTTCTAAAGTTATTTCATTATCTTCTGCATCATGTGCATCTTTGTACTTTGTCTAAGCTCCACTAGAAGGATTCTTAAGGTTTTTTTCCATGTGCTTTCCCAAAGATCAAACTTGGAGGGAGTTAAGAGACACCAGAAAAGGTCTTTGAGATCAGCAGGAACTAAATCCTGTGATTTTAACATGGCTTTTATTATTCCTTTGAGTACTTCACTATCTCTACCAAACTTTCTTTGCACCTTGCAGATTTAATATTTTGGTAAGAAAATGGTTGATACTGCGCTTGAATTCTTCTATTACCAGTATACACCACAGGAGCAGCTTTAAGCATATCTTCATCTTCCCCAGGGCCTGGATCTCCTGGGTTTCCCTACCCACCCCCACCCCCACCAGGCCCAGGGGGCCTCGCTCCCCCACTGGGTCTGTGGAGGAGCCCAGCCCCATCCCCACAGGAACTGGGCAATGGCCCATTCCCCTCCCCACACCGGGGGCAGGGGCAGGACACCCCTCACCCTGTCCCCTTGCAGGAGGAAGGGGTAGGGCTTTCTCTCCCACCCCACCCCCTGACTCCTGGAGACAGGAGGAAGGGGCATGGGGAGCCGGATTGCAACATCTGGAGACGGGGTTGCAGGGTGATGTCATGGAGGGCGGGAGCATGGTGGGGGGGGAGGAAGGGGTTATGGTGTCCTAGGGAAGGAAGGGGTTATGGGTGGGGTAAGGGTTGTGGGCAGAGACAGGCAGAAGGGATTATGTGAAGGGGAAGGGAAGTATGATGGAGGTCTCCCCATGTGGCCATCTGGCACATGGCCAGCACCACCTTGGGTCCCAGCCACATGGGGATGGGGGGGTTCATTGCCTTTAACAATCAGGATAGGAGGGTACAGGGAAAGACCCCTGATAGCCTGCGCCGCACTGTCAGGGATAGGGGGCTGAACGAGACACATGGAACCAGGAATGGCATTGTCAAAATGCATTTCCTGAGTTTCTTGATCCCTTCTATCTGTCTTTTTCAGCTCAGGAGTAGAGGATTTGGAAGAAGGGTTAGGGGAAACCAGTGGAATTTGCAGTGGCTGTTTTCTCACTTTTCTTTCCCTGTTAAGCAGTTCTTTCCAAATTAAAAGTAAAAATGAGAGATACTTTGAAGCAGATCTGTCTCGCTCCTCTACTTTAAGGATTAAAAAGTTTCCGACCCTATCCCAAGCAGGGACAGAGTCTATACCTAGCATGACAAGCTATGGAAAGATGAGACAGCCATGAGATAAAACGTATCAATTTATTGCTAGAAATATTAACATCTGTGGTGCTTAAAAATTCTTATAATTTGGCTTCCAAATTATTTTGGGGTGCAGATAGCTTGGATCCCATTTCTGCTGTTAAAAAGCTGTTATCACAACTTTTTTTTTCATCTTCTTTCGAAAGAAAAGCAAAAAAGCCAGCAGTGGCAGGCTTCTCTCAGTTCGCCCCCCCTCACACACACACACACCGGTTTAAGACACAAACTCTTAAGCCCAGCCACAGCTGCTTCTGCTGAGCTGCTAAAACACATGGCCAAGGCCATGGTGGGGGCAAGACGCTGTCGCCCGTCCCCAGTGTCGTGGCCATCGGGTCAAGTGGCTCCCTCTTGCCCCTGCCATACGGCTGTCACGCGTGGCCCGCCACAGCCGTCTCTGCGCCCAGTCC